CTAACACATCAACTTTGAGGGCAAAATGTTTTCTTGCTGCCTGATCCCACTTACTGACAGGTGCCATGATAACCAGATAATCAGTGTTATCCACTTCACTATCAGTGCTCATGTTATGGCTGATCGGTGTATGTGCACATACAACTTTGGAAAACCCTGCACACCATCTTTTGCGCACTATTCAGCCACTTAACTCTTGAGTTTTGACACTACAGAAACAGAAAGACGCTGAGTCGATTGAAACATCTTAGCACTTCTGTGAATAAGACACATAGGGTTTCATAGAGTAATATCAAACGTTTTTAGTGTAATTCTCTTCATGGAAATTCACAGAACCACACAACACACTGTTAAAGTTGTCAGTGCCAACAGATGGTGTTTTGTCAGAAACAGACATTTTAATGTCCCAGCAGAACTGAGGTAACAGTATGAATATAACACAAATGTAAAAATATGACACAGTACTTACTGTGTAAATCAGTGGCGTCTATAAATAGTGATCCGTATCTTGTGGCGAAAGACTGAAATAAGCCCAATCTTGATAAATATTTATTAACAGTATTGTCTGTTATCTGGACATGGCTGCTAGTCTCGATATCTGCAGTGAAAACAGTCAAAAGTTTCTTTCGTGCTTTGAAGTGCAGTCACCTGAACAATGTCTCTCTCTGCCAGTTTCCCCCGGGATGAGATCCTGATGTCATCACCATCCAGCTCTACCATAGCTGGAAGATACAAGTTCACACACATGCATGCACACACACACACACACACACACACACAAACAAAGTGTGAGAACGAAGCAAGGACAGCTGCCTTTAGGATAAACGCAAGGCTGATACACAACTGATGTAAAGGTTTGGTTATCATAAATCATATTAATTCCATATATTTGATGCTTTAGCATCACTAAACGGGAGCGGAGCCGTACAGCTGTAATCTGTCTTTATTGCATGTCTAATCAACTAATAAGTTCTTTATTGTAGCCTCTGTGCAATTTAGCATCATCTGCACTAAACACTGCAAACCCAGCAATTAACCTCAGCCATTTCTTCTTCAATTATGCTTGCATCCACCTACGCATTCCCTTCTCTACGGACTCAAATGAGTTTGTACAGTCATTTTCTCTCGGGTATTTCTCTGAATTGGTGCCAGAGAGGTTAGCGCTGACTGTAATAGACTGTGAGTTGTCTGAATTAAAATGTCAATTCTTAGCTCATGTTTTTATCTGCTTAACTGACTTGACACTGCTGAAGTTTTAGAAGACGTTTTCTTTACTATTACCTCTTGTATTAAATAACCAGAATATTATAATCATTCAGTAATGCAGCAGTTAAAAACTAAAGTCACCGTACCATCAAACTCCGCCTGACCCACTCCAACTATGATGATGGACATGGGAAGCTTGGCACCCTGCAGAGAAATAAAAAACAGAAGTCAAGTGAAACAACATTTTTTTTCTTAAGAAACAACATACACATGTACACATTTATTTTATTCAGAGAGAGGAGAGAAGCCTATCCACATCACCACTGACCTGTAGCGCTCATTACTGTATATCAGACAATATAGCAGTTATATGCTCACCCACGTAGGTTACAACCACATTAATGTTCTGTCTCACCCTTTAACTACCTGAATGACCTTTAAGTAATACAAGGACTCTAGAGAGAAAAAGAGTTTGAGTTTGAAATGTTAGGAAGTCAGAGAAACCGGGGAAACAGGGACATTTTTTGTCACTGTTTTCCTTATCCTAGATGTTTTATGTCCCTGAATCCAATTTTCTGTTGTATGAATGCTCTCTGGCTCTTATCTTGGGATGACAATTTGTGTTTGCCCACTGAATGCTAGTTATCAGGCTTGGGAGTGGAGATTAAACTCTGACAACACTAACAGCATCCCCAAAGATACTGACCCAACAGGTAGTATCAGCGCTAAAGCTGTTTTTGATAGCTAAAAAAAGCAATCATCTTTTTTTATTTTATCCCCAGAATTCCCAGCCTGGATTGACAAAATGCCGACCTGCAAAAAGAAGCGTGTTTGACATTATACAGGTAAACTCTGATGGAAGCTGGTTAAGGCTAAAAGGACATCTATTCACACGGAGGGTGAAAAAAAGTGATACATCTGTTGGCAGACACCTCGATAAGGTCTATAATGGCAGGTGTGGCATGGTGGCATTTGTGAGCTGGGAGAGGAAGGAGAGGGAGAAGGTGCTAACATCAGTCAGTACAGCGACCATCCTCAGTCACCCGCCCTGCCACTCCCAAGCTACACCTCAAGTCAGCTGTTCCTGTACTGTGGTTTACTGTCTCTAAACAAAAGCAAGGGGGGATGGGAAATATTTTGATATTATGGTATATTGGCTTTCGAAGTAATTATGATGATATGTTCCTGCCATTTTGTTATTAGCCAAGAATTCTGCAAATGAAGAAGAAGAATTCAGAGAAAATTTAATTTTAACAACAATCTACAGCCTTGCTAGTGGCTTTGTGAGGCTTTGCATATGTTTGCTATATAAAGATATACATCGATATCAGTTCTTACCAAACCAGCCCTTGTTACCCATATGATTACACACTGTATGTTGCTGTACATCTTTTACTTTAAACAGTTAATAATCCAACCAAAACATCTTTTTTTATTCTCAGTACAGTATTTGGCTGTAATATATGTGATTTTCTTTACATGCTGCTTGAGTGACAGTGACTGCATTGCACTCTGACCATGTGAGTGTCTGTTGTTGTAATTTCCAGATAGATGGCAACATAAATGCTCAATGCAGAACCTGCTATTGTGTGCAATGAGTTTTCTGCAGTCATATATTTTCACAAAGCAGTTATAACAAGTGCAGTTTTATCTCTGGGAAAAGTCAAAATATTGAGGAAATCAGGCAACCTCTTTTGCCACGGGGTTGAGAGCACTTTCTGTCGACACCACCTCAGCTGCAGCACAGCAGCGCGATTATCAGTGTTCAACACAACTCCTGTCAGTGCCTGTCCTCCCACGCACATGCACACACACTCACACTTACAGACATACATGCTTGTGTGCGTAGCCGATGACATGCACACACATCAGAACATCAAATGCCACCAAAAATAACCTGGCAATTCACCATGCCCCACTTTTACCATCCTCCTGTCACCCTGACTGGCAGCCAAGATCCAGTGTAATGAGACAATAAAACAAAGTGTCAATCAACACTCATTACTCCAGCAACTCACTTTGGATGTGCTGCTTAAATCCAAATGTCATTTATATGCATGCTTTGATGGGCATGTGTATGTTCTTGTGTATGTGGCTCTGCCCACACACACAAACAGGTTCATGGATGCATGTTTTGTGAGGTGTCCTGTCAGCACAGGGCTCACCTGAGTCACTAGACAATCTCTCATTGGCTGTCTCAGAGCTCAGCTCAGAGAGAAACTTAGGGCAGCAGATTAAGGACACAGCTACCACTGAGTGCAGATATGAACTGTTAACTGGCATTATGAATGGCACATCCAGAATAGTCCACAGCATCAGGAATACTCAGCTGTGGTCATATACAGTCCTCTGTCTTTCACATGTTGACAGACTGAACTGTGTTGAAAAGGACATAAAGTTTCATGTAAATAAAATATTTTGACATTTCAGAATACGTTGTTGATCTCTATTAGCTTTGGTTTCTTTACTGGCACTGCTTGAATAATTTTACTACTAACTTTGATCTTGAATAAGTTTAATCAAATTAATGTTACAAGAAGAAATCACTCAAAGAGCACATACCTCTGCAGAGACAGCCTGAAGTTCTTTAGATTTGTTATGAATATGAATTAATTAAAAAAAATCAACTAGAGCATCTGCCAAATAAATATAAAGAAAAGGGACAGCTTCAAATTACACATCATTTCTTATTCCATAGCCTAATTTTCCACACAAATTTAGATATCCTGCTTATTAACAGCACAAGCAACGAAAAAACCCACAGAGGTAACAACCTTCCTTAGGCAGTAATTGCCAATTAAAAGACTGTATTTAGTCACACATGTACACAGGGCCCTGCATTAGTGAAGTGACTCACTATTGTTTAGTGAGAAGATATGGCTACTGTTTTAAATGCGGCTCCTTTATGAGCTCCTTTATGATTTAAATAAATGTCATTAATAATCTAACATGCAAGAGCAAAAGTGTAAAAAACAGAATCTGTAGCATGCCCTAACTAGCTTACTAATGTTACCTCCATACAGTTTTAAGGCCGAGGTTACTTAAAAAAAACAAAAACTAGCACATCCAGGCAATCGTTTTTTCCCACTGTGTGGGAGCCGGTTTTTGGACGCTGTCAGAGTTTAAACTAATGTTTGCGGTTTGGTCCAGATCTTGGCTTTTAAAAAGTTAACACTCCCTAGCCACAATACTGACTTTTTAGCTGGGAGATGCAACTTTAGCCTCAGTCTTTTTGGACAATATCATGTAACTGTCAAGAAGATGGCATTTTCAGCCAACTCATGGAGCTTAATTCCCTCGCACACTACAACTGATAAAATCTGGCAACAACAGTTGTTATTTCAGCCGGCAAAACTGATGATTTACAGTTAAAAATGAAAAACTTCTACTGTCTGAAATGAGTGTTTGAAGCCTTATTTATTAAAAGATAACTGCCACCATTATCACTAAAATGCATCTGTGCTTGATGTAGGTGTGGCAACAGCAACTAAGGGGACAGGGCTTTGCAATGGTTGTATATTAACTGAAAGTGAGTGAAAAGGTAGAATCATGTCAAGATCATGACAAACATATACAGAACTATTACCAATAAAATAATAATAATAATAATATAATTTTTTGAGAACAGTGAATAGTTAATACAGATCGAGACTATGTAGCCTGTTCTAGTCAAGTAGAAGACTGTACTTGTTGCTGTTGTGTATATTGAGATGTTTTTTTGTTTTCTTGGTTCCACTAGGTATCCCATTACCTCTTACATAACCAAGTCCTGCATCCGATACAAAGTATGAATGAAGGTAAAATGGCTGAGAAGTGAAGTACTTTTGGTGGGTCCTGGCACTGATACAGAGATAAAGCACAAAGCACTGACTGATAACAAGTAGAAGATGAGAAAGGAAAGAAATCAAAGGCAGCGGATGATTTTCTTACAGACTGAATACGGTGACAGGCGAATGGAGAGAGCAGATGAAGACAAAGAGATTTAGATCTTTGAGAGGGAAAGAAATGGAGAGAGACAGCAAAAGTCTTTGTATTTGCGAGCGGGGGAGTCTCACGGCTCCACAGAGGGAAAGAGGAGGCAGCAGAGGGACCCAAGTTATGAGCAGAGGACGGGGAAGCTGAGTGATTGACAGATGGGTTTATGTAGTATAGCAGATTCTGCTATGACTGATAAACCTCCGTTGTTCATCACATGGTCTATATCACCGAAACACACAAAAAAACACTTCCATGCACAAATGCAAACTTGCTCCAGATGTTCATACTCAACATACAGAGAGTTTGGGCTTCCTCTCACTTGATTTCTCGCTCTTTCTTGAAGATATCTTCCAGCATGAATAAGTATGAGGAAAGACTTATATAACCTCAGCAGTGTGTCCTCCCTTGCCCAGGATCCGTGGGGAGTAAAAGGAAAAGCAGTGGAAGCGGCAAGCATCAGTAGACAGTCAGAGTGGAGGCAGTGAGATAGAGCAGCAGGCAAGATCTTAAAAGGAAGGTGTGGCTGTTCTAATGTTTTGACTAACAGTCGCAAATTCCCTTTAAATCCAGTCTGCTGGGTGTTCTGTGCCTGCAGCGGGCTGAGGAGGAGGAGGGGAGAAAAGAGGAAGAGAACAAGGAAGAGGAAAGGAAAGCAAGGCAGCCATCTGCTATTTAAAGCTGGGAGAAAAAAAGGACAAGTTCTGGGGGAAAGCTCAGAGGAATAAAGCACAATGTGGTTCTTTATTTACTGAGGCAGTAACATCTTTTCAGATGCTGAATTTCATAAATATGTTCACTACAATTTTAATGGGTCATTCACAGCATCTGTTCATTCTTCAGAATAAAAACATTACCTGGGTGTTGAGCTACTTTGGTGTAGTTTTCAGGTAAATCATTAGTCTATATATTGATCTTCAGACGCACTCCAAAAGTTTTGAAACCAGCAATTACAGCACAAAAATGTCAGTTATGTGAAGCCATTATGCCAGTTCTTTTTCTTGACACATTGCAGAATTGCTGCTGTCACATGGTGTGTTTGAATCAGAATGACAACCACAATGAACTGGGTTACATATGTTTGTTTGAGAGGGAATGCTAGAGCCAATCAGAGACACAGTATCCATTACTAGTGTTGAAACAAATGCTGACTGACAGTTAATTGACATTAATATAAATAAACAACTAACTGTTTAATTAATGCTGTAGATCAAGCAAATAATTTACTGATATCAGCTTCTCAAATGTGAGGATTTTCTGCTTTTATAAATATCATTATAAACTACTGTATCTTTTGGTATTAGACTGCTCATCAAACAAAACCAATATGTTACATCTGTCACCTTTCACTTTAAGAAATTATGATAGGCCTTTTTCATTATGTCTTTACTTTTAGTTGACTAAATGATTAATTGGGTATTTTGAAAAATAGATGAACTATTGCTTTAAACCATTTATTTCACAGCACAATTCACCTCAAAGGCATTTTCTTCTAATTCATCTCAGATGAAACTGGACATATATATCTTTATATATATTACAATAAAGCACTGTGCCTCCCCATTTTCCCATTCTTACATTTACAATGGCCTCTTTCGTCTGGGCCATGTCGGAAATGACGCCGTCTGTTATGATGAGGAGCACAAAGTACTGAGAGCCGTCCTGTACAGCAGCCGCATACCTGCATACACACACACACACACACACACACAGATGTAGACAAAGATGAGAGGATGCTGTATAATCTCTACATTATAACATATGATCGAAACATTGATGTAGAGAATAAATCCATGACAATACAAGTCTTATCATGCACCACAGGCACATTCAATAAAAATGTTCTTTGTCATTGCTGTACCTCAGATACTCAGATAAACCACCATTAAAATGCTTAACAAATACACATTGATTAATCAGTCCAAACAATCAAGTTTAAAGCAAAGCTGGTTTACACTGTTTGATTCACAGATTAACACCTTTTGTTAAAATCTCTTCCTACTTGAGTTCACCTATTCAAATGCTAAACACCAATACTGGTTGTGCATTCTTACAGCTATGGCTCCCTGCCGCCGTGTGAAAAGTCCATTTTTTATCAGAATGACATTTTTAATTACAACAGAGCACTGGCGTAATCAAATGGAGAATTGTTTGGATATGGCTCAACAAATAAAACCATGAGGGAAGCAGTGAGAGTGAGAGGTGGAGGTGAATGTCGAGGGCACCAGAATCCACATAGATCATATCACAGTTTGTATGTGTTTTGTCATTTGTTCCATCAGCTAAATCCGCCGCTCTTTTGAAAGCTGTCAGCCAATCTGAATTTACGTTCAGGCATGTTATATCCTGTTTGTTGTGTCTTGGAGGACAGATATTGTCAATGTAGCCGCTCAGGAAAGTGGTACAGCACAGCAAATCAAAGCCAACTGAGGCCAGCAGTCAGAAATGTTGGCACAAGTGTAATTCTGATAGCTGGAATCTTATAGAAGATCATTATAATCTGTTTGTTAACATTGTGGCACAAAACCACAGTTCTTTCAATTCTGAATTGCTGATGATAAAAAGATCAATTATATCATCAGTACATCTGTTGGAAAAGCATTGAACAATGCATCCTAGTCTGCGTATAAACACTAATATGTTTGTGAAAATCTCTGGAGGTCTCACCGTTTTTATCATTGTGTTTATTGTCTTTGAATGGAAGCATGAATAATGTAAAGATTATGATGAATCATTAGCAGAAAAAAGTTAAAAAGAACGTCCATGGGAATGAAACAAAAGTCCAAACAATCACAATATAAAATCCAAACTTGTGCTTTGAATTATTGTATTCCTGCTTTAGACCAATTCATATTCATGCGAGCACAGGTGAAAATAGATTTTGCAAGACTCTTTAGTATGTGTCTGACAGTAATAAACCTGACAAATACATAGTTTTATGCAGTCTTAGAGTATGTTGAAAGTTATCACATTTATTCATAGAGCATATTTTTGCCCTAGAAGCTGTTCACCAGCTGCATTGTTCTCTCACCTGGCAACATGGTTCACCACAGGAGCGAAGTTAGTTGGACCGTACAGCTGCACTGTCTTCAGACTCTGGTGGTATGCCTCTAAGATGCCCTCAATACCATTGCAGTACGGATTTTCCATGTTTCCATTCTGAAAAGGGCAGAAATAGGGAAAACAAATAAATTTCATGGGTTTTGTTAATGCACTTATCAAATAAAGAAACACCAAGACTACTTCATCACAGTACACTGGTTTCATCAGACATCATTTACTTGTTTCTTATAACCAGGTCATGCAAGTGTGATTCTGGAAGTTGGAAATAAAAAGTATGAAATAGTCATGCTTTTTATTTCCAACATCCAGAATCAAACTTTGATAAAAATGTAATTGAACTGATGAAATAAAGAAAGGTTCACTTCACCAGTGGAAACTCATGTGACACCCGTCCATCAGGGGGCAGTTTGGCTCCAAAGCCCAGTGCGGGGAACATCTTGTCACTGTCGTAGTCCTGAATGATCTCCCCTACAGCCTTCAGGGCCATAGCGTAGGCGTTCAGCTGGTAGGGATTCATGTAGTGCAGTGAAGTGGACTGGGAAGGGTTACCTGTTGAGCAATCAATGTCGAGGTCATTGTGGGTGATGAGGAACAAAGACGTCACTTCTAGAACATATACAGTTTTTGTGCACCCCTCCTGCAATGACACGACATTAAAAACACTGTTTCGTTTGCTGCAGTTATGCATCTTAAACGTGATTCCTGTCAGGTAGAGCTTTCATGTTCAGGCCTCACAGACAATAAATCATTAACAAACAGTGGGAGGAAAGCCATTGGGAGAACTGAATACCTACAAATAACAAATTAATTGAGCATTTAGAAAGCTTGTCAATAACTGTGACCTTCTCAGATATCCTCTGTTTAATTGCACACCATTATGTCATTCAGTATTGTATGTTAGTATAACAGCCCAGCTTGTATATTTGATTCGATGTGTTTTAGAAAACCAGTAAAGTTGTAGGTGACATGTGTTCACCATTTGATTAGCTGCACCTACTATCTGATAGCAGTAATCCAGCTGTTTGCCTGGTCAGGCTGTTTACTCACAGTATGTAACACAAGTGATCTTATCTCAAATGTCACAACAAATTGTAGGTCACATTGACCAACAGGAACATTTGATTATCTCAACAGTTTATGGAAATTTACTGTTCACTAAGACCTGTCCTCCTTTCTACTGTTGCAATACCTGTTAGGCTTTCTGTTCTTATGCGGTACATATGCAGTTCATTGACTTGTGTTTCAGTAAAAAGGAAGTGTTCCGACTCTGTAATTTTTTCTTTTAACTTTCTGTCCAAACTGGAGATGGAACGTGTCAGGTTTTAAAACCTGACACCAGCTACATTTCAACAAAAATCTGTCCTGTTTTATAATATAATGTAGGCCTACAGTGTGGAGGACTAACGGAGCTGGAAGGAAAAAGAGAGATTTTGTACTACAGCAGTCTGACAAACATGTTTTTAACTGTTATTTACATAGCAATGCTAATCGGTTCCTCCACACAGCAATATAATCAGCTAGTCATGTTGCTGTTATAATAGTCATGCTGACTGGTCAAAAGGTGTTGACATTTGTGTTTTATTATGTGTTTTTAACAATACACAGTATTGGTGGAGACTCATTTGGTTACACAGTTTCTCCATGGCATGGGCTTATTATTGCATAACGAGCTGATTATTCACAATTATATTATAAACAAAATATATTTTACATATATAAAATATTGCAAAAGTTGTGTTTTAATCCATTTAGAAATCAGCTGCCAGACCAACAAGGCGAATGTTACCTGGTTGATTGGTTGTTTGTGGGAGCTTTAACTAATAATTAAAATGTTATTAACTTAAGATATTTACAATAACTTGCATCATCGCTACAAAGCATCAGTGCAATTGCAATTTTTCTACTGCAGCAACACACAAGAAGTTAATTGATCTGGTTAGTTGTATATTAGTTACCACCATAGGTAACTTTGCCTTTAATCTGATATCTGTGGTGTCATGCTAACATTTGCAGCTTACATTAGAAAAGAGAAACACACAGTTTGTGTACCTCGTATTCGTACTGTAGCCATTTGTACACCTTTAAACATGCAGGGAATTCCAAAGCCTGCCATGCCTAGTTATGATTGCTAAACGAAGATTAGACATATGTTCAGGGGATCAATCCAATCAATTGGGAAAATCAGAAATTCAAATTTTCCTCTAATAACTGTGATTCACACTGAAGAGTTCTTCCTGGCAGATAAATCTTTTGGAAAATTGTTGTCATGCACACTTAATGACATAAGTAGTGTAATTAGACTCAAGCATGGTCCTTTTACCTACTAAGGACTCTAAGCCGAGCGGAGGGTTTTACACCATTTGCTTTATTTTATTTTTGCTAAATGCCTGCTATAACCTCTATCTAGACTCTATTGACAGAGCATTAAAGGGGAACTTGGCAACTTTTTCAGCTTAATAAACCCGTTTAGAAATCATTTGGGGCCTGTTCCGGGGAAAATGGTGACCCCCCC